CAAATTTATAATTCATAATAAAAACATAAAAGACCTACCATACGGAGGAGGATTAACGATTGGCGCAACAGGAATGATACCAGGAATATAACCATATTGAGGCGGAAATCCTGAGAAATCAATAAAATTAATAAATATATCCACGCGAAATTGATCAAATTAGACTAGAGCTTACCGGCTTGTCCAGCACATTCGTACGCTTTTGTAATTTCGTCTATAATTGCCTGCGCTTTATCTTGACCTAATTCTGTTTTTTTTTTGACCGATCAACGGGTTAACAGCGAACAATAAGGAAAAAAAACCCCCAAAAAAAGATAACTTACCGGCATAATAATTTCTTACGTTCATGATATGATTTTTACCATTATTATGAGCTTTTCGCACCGATGACGAATCTTTAAAAAAAATTCTCTTATTAAGCTTTAAGAGCGTGTGATCTCTATTTCCAATAGAACCGAATAACACTTACCGTGCGTTAAATATACATCACAATAATCTAGTGTTTTTAAATAAAAAAGATCAAAAGAAAGATCACAAAAAAAAATACCAAAGTACAAAAACGTGTATATAAACTTACCACAATAATATTTTGGCATTACGAAGTTGATGAAAAACAGTAATTTTATACAAACGCGAATAAGTTTTCACATTCGGGTGGCTTATAAATATAGTAACTTAGCGTTAGTTTAAAAGTTCAGAAATTACGTATGTTCACGATCACATGATATAGTCGTGAAATAAATCGATATGACGGTCTTCGAAACTGACTTTTATACATCAATCTTTTCAATAATGACCGGCGACGATGAAAAACCCGGTAAGTCATTCATAGAAAAATACAAATCTTTTCATTTAACTTTAACAAATGAATAAACGATTTATTTATTTTTTTTTTGTATAGTAATGATTGCTACGCAACAAGAAATGGAGGAAGCACACCTTCCTCTAGAATTTCGAGACTTTTGTGCACATTTATTAATACCATTAAATAAATGTCGAAATAAAACCAATTACTTACCGTGGAAATGCGAAAACGAGAGGCACGCATATGAAAAATGTCAATATGATGAGTGAGTAATTGATAAATATTCAAAAATAATTTTTTTAAGATCATTTATCTCATTCGAAACATAAATTGGAACACGATGCGTTTATAAAGCTATTTGCGTAGAATGCGGCTTGTAGAAAAAAAGCAAAGAGAAGAGGAACGAAAGAAACAAAGCAATAGCGCGTAATATTAATCTTGACTGGATTTATATGATTTATAGGATTTATTGAAAGTATATTATATTCAAAGTAAAATCACTGTTTGACAAAATCATTTGACAAAATTATTGAAAGAGAGAATTTACACTAAGATCCTCTAATTTTTTGTTCCCTGAATAACACATGTCTACGAACTTGTAATAATTAAAAAAGTCAATATTGCACCAAATAAAGAGTCTGAAGAGTCTGAAAGGTAATGAAAACATACCTATAGGATCATATTTAATAAATGATAACTTTGGTAGTTGTCTTGGTCGAGTTCTTGTGTAAAAGTAGCCGGTACCGGCAGCTGAGACAAGTTTTACTATTGTTGTCCTTGATTTTTTTTTTGATTTATCAGCATAAAATATGTTCGTTATCATTAATTTCATTTGATTGAAAATTTATAAATTACCTTGCTTTAGCTTTCTTTGCCACTTTTGTTAAAGTATAAATAGATTAAAAGGTATTTATAATAATTCGGATAATAAAATAATTGATAAAAATACACGCATAGTATACAAGAATAATGATAACGACTCACTTTTTTAATTATTAATAAAGATATTTCAAATTCAAACAAAAAGAAATAACGTTATCATCCGTTATACGATGATCACAAATTATTTTTAATTCGGGCCAATCGAACCCGGGCAAATTACAATTTTTAAAAAAAGATATCGATGTCCGATTGGGCCATTTTTCATTATATCGTATAAAATTCTGTTGAAGAAAATACATTGTATCAACAACGCAAGATGACATTTTTTTTATACGTATGTACAAATTTTATATCAAATTTTTATATATAGGTTGTTGCCCAGCAAAACCATGCTTAGAGTATATATTTTTTATATACTCTAA